GTGAATGTGCTACTTTACATGACAAAGGGGATGTTGCAGATGTGATTAAGTTAAGTATCTTCAGTTGAGGAGGTTTCTCTGGATTATCTGGGTGGGCCTGATGTAATCACCAACGTTCTTATAAGGAAAAGAGACAGACAGGAGGCCAGGGAAGGAGATGTGACATTGGAAGCAGAGGTCAGAGAGACAGACTTGAAGATGGTATGCTCCACTTTGAATGTGGAGGAAGAGACTGTGAGCCAAGGAATGTAGGTGCCCTGTAGAAGCTGGGAAAGGCAAGGAAACAGAATCTTCCCTAGACCCTCCAGAAGGAACGCATCCCCGCCAATGTCTTTATCTTGGGATATCTAACCTCCAGAACTACAAGGTAATAAGTTTTTCTTGTTTTAAGCCATTAAATTTATGGCAGTTTGTTATGGCAGCAATAGGAGGTTAATGCAAGCTTCAAGAATTCTTGAGAAACTGACAATAATCTGACTTTTTATGACCAGAGTATAAGTCTTACATTCTAAATGTTTAAATCTACTCTTCCCTAACCTTTCTTGTACCCTTGGGAGAAGGGGACAAGGCTGGAGTACTAAAAGCAGAAAGGAGCAGAGCCTGCCTGGGGAATTCTGGAGCCGATGGGATTGCTGGAGTGATCCCAGTCAGACTTGGTTAGAGAAAGCTGAGAGCCAAGTCCTGAGAAAGCCAAATGCAAAGCTGAGTTCTAAGTCAGGTGAAAGCTAGGAGCAGAGGCAGAGTCTGGTTTGTTGAAAGATGCTTCCAGCAGGAGGTGAGTGGAAACAAGTAGGAATGTCCACGTGAGCCCCCTGGGTCTGAAGGTGGTTCCCAGACACTGGTCTCTGCTTCAGGAGACCCTGCCAGGCTTACCTGAGGCTCTGTGGCTCTGGGTCCCCATCCCTGCCTCCTCGCAACAGACTTAGATGTGTCTTCTGTGGACATGAGTGTAGAGTTCATCCAACTTGTTGCTTGTTTTCTGTTTACAGCCATTAGGAAATGTAAGTTAGCGGTTTAAAATGGAATTATTTAATGCTCAATTTATTAGATCTCTCAGTGTGTGCCTTGGCTAAGAGTGTTTCAGATTGTACTATAAGCTGCCGTATTCAAAGTCCAACTTTTAGTCTGTGAACTCTGAATAAATAGTTCTGTGTGTGGTAGATCTCTTGCCTGAGCCTGTTTCGTGGTTAGAAGGCACTGAGCATGAGGTCTGTTCTAGGTTGCCATAAGTCAGAGACAAAGGCCATGATTCTCTGCTAGTGTGTTATATTTGTGGGCTTGTATCAGTGCAAAAATGTTGGAGTTATTTGCAATAGAGTGTGTGGTGTGGTATGTAGTTATGAGTGAGTGTCCTGTAATTGAATGTAATCGTAATATTCATAAGAACTTTCAGTCCATCACTTCCTCATCTGGTACATAATTGAATTGAATTGAATTGATTCTTTCACTAATAGGCACCCTATTGTTTCTTTGTTATTCTATTGTTGTCAGTATTGACAATATAAACTATTATACTAAAATTCAAAAAATAACTGATCTGGGTAGAAACTTCATGTCATTTTGAAGAATCATATAATAAATGATAGATAGCCCTCTAGTTACAATTTAATTCAACAAATATCTTTTGAGCATCTACCATGGGCAAGGTACATTCCCAAGTTCTTCAATATCATCAGTGGTTAAAAAAAAAAATGACAAAAATCTGTGCCAGCGAGCTACTTTTTCAGCCATAGATGTACAAGAGTGATCTTACAGTGAATTCACCTCCTTTAAAAATGTGCATTTGTGGGCCGGCCCTGTGGGTCAGTGGTTAAGTGCACCCGTTCCGCTTCGGCGGCCCGGGGTTCGCTGGTTCAGATCCTAGGTGTGGACATGGCATTGCTTGGCGCGCCATGCTGTGGTGGGCATCCCACATATAAAGTAGAGGAAGATGGCATGATGTTAGCTCAAGGCCAGTCTTCCTCAGCAAAAAGAGGAGGATTGCCAGCAGTTAGCTCAGGGCTAATCTTCCTCAAAGGAAAAAAAACGTGTATTTGTAAATGATTTCCAGTTGCGTCTTGTGCTCGTAATATTTTATAGTTCTCACAGTCACCCATGAAAAACTTTCTGGGGCATACAGGCTAGATCCTTAATAGTCACACTTCTTAATTCACAGTTTGAAAAAGGCCACAAAGTATGACTGCTAAGGTTAAATTTGTGTACCTACTGCCCAACACGTCATAGATCAGATTGTCCTTACAGTCTCACTCAGAAACAACACATTCAGATTGTGGTGCGAGAAGCTAGACTTTTGATCCCAACGCCCTATGTGCCAGGGAACTCTCTTTCTGAGGGGCATTTCCATGTTAGAGCCAGCCATAGCCTAGGCATCTCTTATGAGAAAACCATGCCTGTAGAATTCTGGTGTCCGGTCTGTTGGGTACACGTGGGAGGACTTGAATGTAGCCTTTGTTAATCATTTCCACTCCCAGCCATGTGATTGCTGGGCTTGGGCAGAGGGTGAGAATGGTCTTTCTGGAGCCTACATTCCAGGAGAGGCAAATAATCACAATGAGTAAATTATAGAATGTGTTAGAAGGGGATACATATGATGGAAAATCAGAGCAGAATAAGGAGAATCAGGAGTTCTTGCAACAAAGGGATTGAATTTTAACTAGAGTGGTCAGGGAAGACTGGACGGGAATGACACCTCCTGGCAGAAATGTGAATGAGAGGAAAAGTGAGTCATCTGGCTGTCTGAGGGAAGGATAAGCTGGGCAGAGGAACAATCTTGGCCCAAGCCCCTAAGTCAGCAGTGTGCTGCGTGAATTCAGGGGATAGTGGGAGGCTAATGACCTGAAGCAGAGCAAGTAGACAGAGAGGTAGGAAGATGGTCAGAAAGGGACCTGGGAGAGATGGTGTAGGACCTCAGAGGCCATCATACAGTTTGGCTTTTGTTCTGAATGAGGTAGGTAGCTGTTGCAAAGTTCTGATCAGCAAGGAGATGTGAACTTCTTTGATGCAATCCATTTAAAATTAAAACCCATATGGTGGCTGAGTTGAGAATGACTGTGGGGTAATGGTCAAGGGTGAAAGGAGAGAGATTAATTAGGATACTATTGCAATATTCCAGGCAAGAGATGCCAGTGGCTCAGATGAGGATGTTAACAGTAATGTTAATGATCATATAACATTAGTAGTGGTCATATTCTGGATATATTTTGAAGGTAGAGCCAAATGGATTGCTTATGGATTGGATGTGGTGTACAAGAGAGAGGAATAAGATAACTCACCAGTTTTTCCTGAGAAACTCCAAGGATGGAGTTGCCATTTACTGACGTGAGGAAGACTGTGGATGGATCAGGTTGGGGGTAAAATCAATAACTCAGTTTTTGACTTTTTCAGTTCGAAATATATATTAGACATAGAAGTAGAGATATGAAGTGGGTGGTTAGATTGATAATTCAGGAATTTAGGGTTCAGATCTGAGATGGAGATATAAATTTGGGAGATAGTACCATGTAGAAAGAATTTAAGTTCATGAGACAGCATGAGATCATCCAAAAAGTGAGGTAGAGAAAGAAGAGATTGAGAGCAGAAGAGACAAATGGTTATAATATTGTGTTTTTTGCCCCTGTGTTTATGATTTTTTCTTTAATAGGGTCATTTATTATTTTTTTGTCACTTTCTTCTAATGATCCTACCCTCCATTTTTCAAACATATGAGAATTTTCCACCCTGTCTTTATTCTAGTATTCTCCACACCTGCCACTCCACCTCCCCAGATTTTAAAGGTGCATTTTAATCCTATAAGTAATGTTTATTTAATATTTTGCCTTTTTTTTTTGGTGAGGAAGATTGGCCCTGAGATAATATCTTGTTGCCAATCTTCCTTTTTTTTGCTTGAAGAAGATTATCCTTGAGCTAACATCTGTGCCAATCCTCCTCTACTTTATACCTGGGATGCCGCCACAGCATGGCTTGATGAGCAGTGTGTAGGTCCATACCTGGGACCCAAACTTGTAAACCTCGGGCCGCAGAGTGGCGCATGCAAACTTAACCACTACACTGCCAGGCCAACCTGGAATCTCTTGCTTTTTAAGAGAAAAAGATAAAAGATACTGAGAGCCAATTGAAAAAGTAACGAAGTCTATATTTACATTTGGAGATAACAAAATAGGTGAGAACTAGATAGTTATAAAGTTATCTGTGAATAGGCATTGGACAATTTCTTGCAAATTTTTAACATAATTCCAAAATCCTAATGTTCTTGGAGAATGTGCAAATATCTTGTATTAGTTTAAATTTCCAAGTCAATTGTTAATGTCAGAAAACATGATCAAATCTGTGTCAAAAAGTAAAAGAGAATATCACAAATATGAATATTTGAAGTACTTACACAGGATTTTTACAAGTGTGTTAGTCTGGGTCCAGCTGGGAGAGAGAAACCACACAGTAATTTGAACAGAGAAAGTTTCACATACACAGCTCCTAACTATACAGGAGTTTGGGTAATGAGGGATTGGCTAGTGAGAATTAAAAAAAAAACAACCACCAAACAAACTCTAAAGAATACAGGAATAGCAGATAGAAGGAGCAGCATTACCCCTAGGGCTGAGATAGAGCTCTCAAGAAAGAGCCTCTCCCCGCGGCTGAGGTCCAGACCTTGTAGGAGAGGGCTTGGCTGTGGCTCATTGAACAACAGAAATTATTGTGGTTCAGATCTGGCAGAACATGCTGGACCACTCTCTGAAACTCTCTCTCTCTCTCTTTTTTTTAAACACATACTTCTCCAACAGATTTATTAAGTTTTTTGAAAGGAATAAATTTTGAGGAATAAAAACATGGGGCAGAGAAGTATAGAATGAAAAATAAATGCAAAGTAAGCTGTTTTGCTGATTATTTTATACCCACAACAAACTAGTACAGAGAACACCCTGTACAAAGAATAATAATAAAGACTCGAAAGATCAAGGTGTTCCTCCAGGCAAGGCTGAAGATTTCAGTTTGGGCTGCATCCTTGTCTTTGAGTGCATCTCTGGGTGCATGGCACAGTCCTCACGCTTTTAACCAGATTTGAACAGAAGAATGGCCACTTGGCCCAGGCAGAAGTAGATGAAATGCTTTGTTTCATGTGTCACCAAACTCCTGAAGTTCCTCCCCACAATGTAATGTGAAGTGGGGCTGTATTTCTTATCAAACTCCTTCCTAATATGGGCTGCAATATCCTTCTCTATGTTATATTTCTCCAACACCTGAGTAGCACACTCCACTGAGTCTTGTTGCATTTCCTCTGACAGATTCGCATTTTTGATCGTGGCCTTTTGGATGCATGTGGTTATGGTGGAGCAGTGATTGCCTGACTGCAAGGGTCTCCTGGGGGAGGGGCTGGCAAGGCTCAGACCCAGTGGGACCTACTTCCAGGGGAATCGGCTGGACCACTCTCTGGATCTTGCAGGAAATCTATACCCTAGGGTGCTAGAAATCTGTTCACAAGGATCTGTCTCACTGAGGCATTCCACTGCAACACCATCTTAGGGAGATGATGGAGACACTACTGGATGTCCACACCACAGGAGCTGGACACTGGGGAAACCACACGTGCTACAGGAGCTGGACCTGGAGGAGCTGCCCATAGGGGAGAAGGACTGCAGGAGCCTGGCAAGTGAACACTCTCAAACTGAAAGTAAAACGTTTTCCTATTGCAGCATCTCTCCAGCACTCTCTACTGTCAGTGATTAATGTCATGCTAGCTGGCAAAGGAAAAACACTTAGAAGATGGGTTCACTGTCACAGAGCAGGCACAAAGAGTGAATTTTGAGCTGAGAGGCAATCAATCGATAACTGGCATAACATGAAACAATTTGTATAGGTTCACGTAGTTTTTATAATATTATTGGAGTGTCTAGGAAACAAGTTTCAAAGGGAACACATAGGGGCTTGTCCTGTGGTGTAGTGGTTAAGTTCACTGCCCTCCACTTTGGCGGCCTGGGTTCGGATCCTGAACATGGACCTATGCCACTAGTCGGCCATGCTGTGGCAGAGACCCACATGCAAAATAGAGGAAAATTTGCACAGGTGTTAGCTCAGGACGGATCTTCTTCAGCAAAAAATAAATAAATAAATAAAATAGGAACACATATAGTTAAATAATACGGCATTTCAATTGCTTTCCATTATTTTCATTACATCTATTCCAACAAACATGCAATTTCCATATATTTTGCTATGGACCCAAAAGTGTTTTGCACAATCAAACAGAAAATTTAGGAGAGAAAAATACTACTTTCCTGGAAGTGTGTGATTTTTTTTGTATTCTATGTTAGTAGTATAATGACCATAAAAATTACACATTTTAAAAAAATGTGGTAAAATATATGTAACGTAAAATTTAGTATTTTAACTATTTTTAAGTGTACAATTAAGTGGCATTAAGTACATTCACAATGTTGTGCAATCATTATGACTATCCATTTCCAGAACTCTTCCATCATCCCAAAGAGAAACTCTTTTCTCATTAAAAAACATCTCTCCATTCCCCACTCTCCCTAGTAACCTCTATCCTACCTTCTATCTCTGAATTTGACGATTCTAGGTAACTCATATAAATGGAATCATATACACTTTGTCTTGTTGTGTATACCTTATTTCACTTAGCTTGATGTTTTGTAGTTTCATTCATCTTGTAGCATGTGTCAGAATTTTATTTCTTTTTATGGTTGAATAGTATTCCATTGTATGTATAGACCACATTTCCATTCATCTGAAAAAACTTGGTTTTTTTCACCCTTTGGTTATTGTGAGTAACTCTGCTATGAATATTGTTGTACAAACATCTGGTTTAGTCACTGCTTTCAGTTTTTTTGGGTAGATACCTAGGAGTGGAATTGCTGGATCATCTGGTAGTTCTATGTTTAACTTTTTGAGGAACTGTCAAACTGATTGCCACAGCAGCTGTACCATTTTACAGTCCCACTAGCAATGCATGAGGGTTCCAGTTTCTTCAAATCTTCTCCAACTCTTACTACAATAGCCATCCTAATGGGCGTGAAGTGGTAGCTCATTGTGGTTTTGATTTGCATTTCCCTAATGATTAATGACAAGCATCTTTTCACATACTTATTGGCCATTTGTATATCTTCTTTGGAGAAATGTCTATTCAAGTCCATTGCCTATTTTTTAATTGTTTGTTTTTTGTTGTTATAGAGTTGTGTGTACTCTTTCTATACTTTGTATGTTAACCCTTATCAGATATATCACTTGCAGATATCTTCTCCCATTCTGTGGGTTGTCTTTTCACTGTCTTGATTGTGTTCTTTGATAGACAAAAGTTTTTAATTTTGATGGCGTACATTTAAAACATTCTTTTCTTTTGTTGCCTGTACTTTTGGTGTCTAAGACACTAATATCCACTGTCCAAGCCCTCAAATGCTTTTGCATACCCACCCCTCCCCCAAGGATTCTGGGATACCACATGATAAAGCAACTAAAGGATTATTGCCTGACACACCAGGGAACTCCAGAACTCTGCTCTAGTATGTCAGTCATCAGCTGGGTTCTCCAAGAAGCAGATGTAAAGACATGAAAAGATGTATAAGAGATTTATTGGGAGATATGCTTATGAAAAATAATAGGAAGAGAGAACAGGAGTTGTCAGGAAGACCCTCAGACTGATTTGAGCTTAATACTTGTGAAAAGAGAGAGAGAGAAGTGAAGGAAAGGTGGGGCAGGAGGAGTCTCAGACTGCTGTGTAGTTCTGAGAAAGTCTTGGCCAGGCCAGTGAAGGATCACTGAGCAAAGGTGCCCATTACAGGAGTTGCACATGAGGCATAAACGACCTGGCCCTAGTACTCCTGCTCAGCCTAGTCATTGGCTGGGGTCAGCTTGGGGAAGTATGACCATTGCATGAACACTAAGATGGATGGATCCAAAGGTCCAGGGCTGGAGGTTGTCAGTCAACTCTTGAATGGACATCTGAGTGGTATAGGAGTCTGATGGATTGGTTCCCAGCCAGGATCTATTGTCAAAAATCTTAAATTATTCTCCTGATGGAAGGGTTTTAAACAGGGGAGTGGTTTGGTGAGGTATTGCTTTAGAAAGAACACATTGGCTCTAGTATGAAAAGGAAATCAGATGGGGATGAGAATGGAGTCAGGAAACTGATGAGAAGACCATGGCAGAAAAGGACAAGATGGTAGTAGATGAATTGTTTTAGAAATTTCAAGATTAGAAAATGTTTGTAAACCTAGATGTGGGATCACAGTGCTCTAGAGCTGGAAGGAGTTTTAGAATGCTTCCAGACTGTGGTTGGTGAAACCGTATAGCTTGTTTTTATGTGTAGGATATGAGTGACAGGAAATGGAGAAACTGCATTTAGTTTTTAATTTACATTTACTTAATAGGATGCTGAATTTGAGAAATTTGGGAATTAACCATTAAATTCATGATAAGTAATGTTGACCCTTACCTACTGACATTAGATTCCTTAAGCTGCTGTCTTGACCCAATCTCTCTTATTTCTGCTGTTGGCCAGAGCTGGAGTGCACTATTTAACTAAAGTTTGTAAATTCTTTGAAGCAATAGTGTATGATTAAGAGAATCGATTCCGAGTCAGGATTAATTGGTTTCAAAATTTGTCTCTGCTTCTTATAATTATGCATCCATGCCAACAAAAGAAACTATTAAGCTCAATTTCTGTAAAAAGAGGACATTCCTCCCTAACTCACGGTTGCTGTGAGGACTAAATGTAATAGTGCATACCCAGTGCCTGGACTTGGGAGTATGTGTGCCATCATGCTGTGTTTCTGACCAGCCTCACTATGAGACCAACCACAGGTAATTAGCCACTGGCAGCCAGAAGAGGGCAGTGATGAGCTTTCTGCATAGAAATGTCTCACATTAGAAGAAAACCTGGAGGAAAAGGAGAGACTCTTTTGTATTTCTATTGTGAGAACAGAGTTCAAAGGGCAAGTTTTGAAGAAATCCTGAGCTGAAAACAAGGAAGGAAGACACCAGTCTGATACCAAAACTTAACATCCCAGAAAACGAAGAGATTCAGGAAAAATTGTGCATCAGAAGGGCTACGTGGATAGAGGTGATTTGGTGATGTGTCTGGGACAAGGGAAGTCTCTTTTTGTGTCCCTTACCGAAGATCTCTGCTCCTTCTTATGGAAAATCTCTGACTTTGGGTTCTTGGAACCACTGTCTCATGTGATTCTTTGGCACCAGTAACAACTCTTACTCTACTATCTGTTGAGATTCCCCTACACTGACCCACACCATTGTAAATAGTCTTGTGAACAAATCCATGTACCTGATTTGAGAGTGACTCTCATTCTGTTTGGGATCCTGACAGATACATATTCCCTCAGAGAGGAATGTTATTACTTACAGCATTAAATACCTAGGATTGATCTAATAAAAGATGTGGAAGACTAGCACTAATTTTTATAAGATATTATTGAGAATATTAAAGATGCCTAAACAAATGGAAGGATATACCATCTTCATAAATCACAAGGCTAAATATGGACAAGATGTCAATTCCTCAAAACTGATCTATAGATTCAGAGCAATCCTAATCAAAATTCCAGTAGGAGTGTGTGGCTGTGGGGATGTGTCAATTGATGAGCTGATTGTAAAATTTGCACAGAAATGGACATGGCCAAGTAAAAGATTCTCTGCTTCAAAATTCAGCAAGAAAATACAAATTTAATCCACAATGTGGACTCTTACACACCCAGTGACATTACAAAAATTCAAAAGATAAACATTACAAAGTATTTGCAAAGATTTGGAGCAACTGAAATTTTCATATACTCCTTATCAGAAAACTGGCAGAATTCACTTGCCCAATCCTGATTCTAACAATCCCATTCCTAGGAATATAACAAACAGAAATGCACACATGTATTCATTAAAAGTCCCACATATATCTATATGAATGATCATAGTGGTACTACTTGCAGCAGCCGAAAGCTGGAAACAACTTAAATATCCATCGACAGTAGAATGCATAAAGTTTGGTGTATTTATCCAATGGAATAATATATACCAATGAGAATGAATGCACCATACAACAGTATGGATGAGTCTCACATATATAATGTCGAACAATATTATATTGAAGCCAGACACAAAAGAGTATATCCTTTCAAATTCTATACAGATGAAGGTCAACTTAGAAAAACACCTACTTTATGGTTCCACGAGAGTGGGGAAGTATTCACTGGGAGGGGGCAGGAGCATTGCTTCTGGCATGGTAGAAATACTCTATTTCTTGATCTGGGTGCTGGTTGCATGGGTGTATTCACTGAAAATTCATTGAGTTTTACATTTATGATTTGTGTACTCTTCTTGTTTTTTGTTAAATAGCAGCTTATTGAAAAATAATTCACATTCCATACAATTCACCATTCTAAAATGAACAATTCAGTGTTTTTTTAAAACTTTCACAGAGTGGTACAATCATTCCTGTTGTTTAATTTCAGACATTTCATCATTTCAAAAAGAAACCCCATACCCATTAGCAGTCACAACCCATTATCCCCTTCCCAGAAACCATTAATCCACTTTCTATCTCTATATATTTGCCTATTTTGAAGATTTCATACAAATAGAGTCATATAATATGCGGCTGTTTGTGTGACTTCTTACTTATCATAATGCTGCCAAAGTTCGACTGTGTTGTAGCCTGCGTCAGCACTTCATTTCCTTTCATGGCTGAATAAATCGTGTTGTACAGATAT